CTCCACTACCTATTCATGTAGCTTCTGTCGATTTTTCTATTAGCCTTAGCCATGATTATTAAGTACTCCCTTCGTTCCAATTTATGTGAACCTCTTTGATTAGGCACGGAATTTAAGAAATACAACCAAAAAAACTCATTTTGTGGGGGTTATTTTGTTGATCAGTGACGGTTTTCGACCCCACAAAATAAATTGTGGCAGTTTCACAAAACGCCACAATTACGTTCGCCACAAGCTTTTTTGCGGCAGTTCTGTACAACCTCCATGGCGACAATTTGTGGCGGTTTAAAAAGTAATTAGCGGCAATTTGTAACCTCCATAATATGATTTCAATGTTTAAAAAAAATAATTTGTGGGAATTTATAACCCTCACAATTTAATCTGAATCTAATAAATAAAAAAAATTAATAGTGGCAATTTGTAACTACCAGAATATCTATCTGAAAGTTTATATATTGGAGGATTCAATAAATAACTTTACTAAATAACTCTCACAACACAAATCAAATTCCATTAAAAATATCAATAGCAACAAACATCACGACTTCAAATTCATATCAAACCAAAATTGTACAAATAAATGCATGATAACTTAAACATTATACAATAAAGAGTAGATCCTCATCCTCAATAAATAAATATACAAAGTGCAATGTACTTGCTTGGTGATTTGCATTGTTATCACTTGATGCTACTCTTATACATCCATGAGGGAAAGCAGACTCGCTCTCCACATCACTAGATGAAATAATGAAACAAAAATATTTGATGAAAAACTTATAATTGACTAGCATTTTGACAAACCAAAAGCACAAATCCAGTTACATAACTAGATGGAAGCTCTAACTTTTTAACAAATTAATCTGTCACTTGGTCTAATCAAGGCATTAAACAGAAGTTGCTGGATATTATCACATGAATAAGAGCTAAAGTACAAAGTTAATTCCTCGTATATCATCACAAATCTTACCTCAACGAACTACTCTACTTGGCAACATAAATTCTGGCCATATTCATGAAATAAAAAAACCACCTATGTAGCTATTAAAATGTAAGTCAACCTCTATAGATTTTCTAACATTACAATTCAACAAATAAAGTATAAGTTATAATCCAACCCAATGATTAACGGAAAATGAAAAGTAGAACGCTAACAGCACCGAAAAACTCAAGTAGAAGAAATGAGCGGATAAAATAGGATCCATAAACTAATAATTAGTTAGATAAACCAAGCCAGCATCAAAATCTTTTGGAGCTAGCTTCAAGCAAAAGAAGCAACAAAAAAGTGCCAAAACTTGAACAGAAATAGAATTTATATACTACCAACTTACTTCAACGTCTAATTTGTTAAGGGGCTTAATCAAATTTCCCGGACATAAATTTCATTAGTGTCACGCCCCGAACCTGGGTGTGGACGTAACACGGAACTCGGTGCCTAACTACATGTGACCGAGCGAACCAACTAGCTGGCTGAATCAACATGTGATATCATAACATACTGAATGCGGAAGATAAACTAACACATGCTAATATACTGAAAGTCTGGATGATATAAATCAAAGTACGGAAATGCTAATACAATGTCTGAAATGTATTTGTAGCAAATATAGCTTAACATGAAAAAACTTGAGACTCTGTCTAACTGTTACTCTAGTCTATGAAGTCTCTAATGAAGTACTGAAAACACTGACTGCCTGTAAATACTGAAAGACTGTAAAGTAATGATAATGCCCCGAAAGAACTGGGGATCACCAAACAGCTGGTACGAGAATCCTAGCGCTCTGAATCATCAACCTATAAATCATTACCTGCATTGTGAGATGCAGGCCCCCGACAAAAGGGACGTCAGTACATTTGAATTGTACTGGTATGTAAAGCAACTGAAAGAAAGAATTATAAATACTGAAACTGAAACTAAGCTGATAACTAAAATGATAACTATTGAAACTGAAACTGAAGTGAGAACTGGTAACTGAACTGATAACTGAAAAGATAACTGATAACTGAACTAATAACTGAAAAGATAACTGATAACTGATAACTGAACTAATAACTGAAAAGATAACTGATAACCGATAACTGAACTGAATAAAGGAAGTAAGGATATGAATACTCCCTCTTCTGAATGGTGAACAACCTGTTTATCTGAATATTAAACTGCGGCCTCAGGCCCAATATATATATGTGCACAACTGCGGCATCGGGCCCAAGTATGCGTATACATAACTGCGACCTCAGGTCCAAAATGCATAAAGCATAAACTGCGGCCTCAGGCCCAAAGATGCATAAAGCATAAACTGCGGCCTCAGGCCCAAAGATGCATAAAGCATAAACTGCGGCCTCAGGCCCAAAGGCAGGTGTTCAACATTCAGGAACTGAGAATCATACTGAAATACATGATGTTGAAATACTGAATCATATTGAGTTACATGATACTTGAATGCTGAATCACACTAAGTTACATAATACTGAATAGGACTGGACTGAGACATATATTCTTGAACTGATTATGAACACTGAAACTTAGACTGTTTATGACATGCTGAGTAAGCTATACTGAGACTCAGGGACATCAAACCCAAGTCTATATTGGATACGAACTGAACTCATAACGTTCATAAAGAAAGTCATGAACGAGTTGTGAAGCTAGAGAATAGAAGTTCTGCAACTATTCAAGGAATTAGGCTTAACTATATTTCTGAGGCAATTGGTAACGTCGTAAAAGAAACGTAGTATAGGGAGAATCATTAAAATTCCCAAACATAGAGAGTTAGCCTCACATACCTTAACTTCCTGCTCTTGAGCGTAATACAATATTCGCCAACCCTTTCAACTTTAATCTATATCAATACAAGTCAATAGGATTCCATATTAGCAATAATACTCATATTTTAGTCACTTAAGCATTTTCTGAAACACTTGGTGACATAAAGCTTCATAGTCCTTATTAATGGTGTTTCTACACCCAACAAGCCATTCTCTTGATCCTAGATAAATTCTAAAATCTCAAATCTCTTATAATCAATGTCATTCTTCTTCACCCATAAGATAAACAACACCCTTAACCAATAATAAACAATCAACAAGCCAAACCTATAATTGTTCGTGCTTTTCTATCAAACCCATCAACTCATATCTCATGAACTAGGGTATATAATCATTAAACCAATGCTAGAATCAATTAGAGGGTGAAGATATTACCTTCTTGACGTTCAATCTTCTTGAATTCGAGTTCTAGGGTTCCTTCTCTCAACAATGATGACCCAATCGAATATCTAATGATATGGAGGGTTTACCCATGTTAATAAGATGTTGAAAAATTAAAATTAACTTAGAATCACCATTAGAACTTACCTTGGGTGGTGGAAGGACGCTTAAGGAGTTAGGTTTTTGAGAGTTCTCCTTTCTAAACCAAGTTTTTGTATTTTGGGGATGTGGGGGACGAAATATAGCTTTAAAACGACCCCCACGAGCGCGCTCGCGCACCTGGAGACCTGCCAGCGCTACTGACCGCGCTAAACGGCAGTAACACTGCTTCAAAATTAGCGCGGTCACGCTATGGGCGCACATATCACATACTGTTCTGTAAAATGCACATAACTTTTTGCACAGAGATCCGTTTGGGCTCCATAATATATCGTTGGAAAGCTATTTCAAAGGCCTATAACTTTCATACTTTGAGTTTTCCCGAATTCCTTACACATTTTTACTAAACACTGATGGAACACAAACCTTCTGCAAACTTAGTCGATTTTGTCAAATCTTATGCATCTTGATTTTGAAACAACTATTTTCACCCATAATCATCTCGATGAGACTTCACGTGCTCAAAATATAACCTTACTAGTCCTGTAACTCATTCATACCTATGTCGAATTTACGGGGTGTTACAATTAGTATTTGTATCACTAACACTGCACGAGAACACGAAACAAATTACTCTTAATAACATACAGTAACCAAGGGAGAAGAAGTGAAAGGATTGAAAATGTAGGAGAGAACTTAGTGACATCTTAACAATCGAATTATGGAAGTTTTGTTTGATTAGTTTCTTTCAGTAGTTTTCTTTTCATCAGTTAACTATCTTAGTATCCTTCAAAATTATAAGAAAGCAATATCGTTAAGCTAACTAAATAATTAGAACATGCCCTTCATATAATTGGAGTTGACAAAATAGATAGCAGAACCAACTATCACCATAAGAGTGTCAGGGAACTTTTTTCTGAAAATTGTTGTATATTTCAGTAACCAGTAGTCTTGGGGATAAGAAAAATCCAAATGCAATCAATTTAATAGAAAACCATCACTTATTTATGTGTGTTGTGCGTTTAGACTGGTATATCAAGTTTACATCCACATGTAGTCTCGTATGTAGAAAGATGTCAATGAGCCAAGTGGGTTACTTGTTCTCGAGGCTACCATTTTTTTTTAACTTAAAAGTAGTGTTCATTGCTGCAAATGTTCTTCCAATTATTCTAGCTTCCTATAAGTCGTGAAGTTTGTTATACAAAAAATAAACTTCTCTGAAACGAACACCTGACCGAGAAATGAGTTAAGAAGCATAACTTACCCCTCAGTGCTATCATACCAACACAACAATCCTGAAACCTTTGCCCAGATATTCACCAGTGAAAGAAATTTTCTTTACCATGCTTGTTTGTTGTCACGACCCTAAATCCGGACCCGGTCGTGATGACGCCTCTCGTGAAGACAAGGCCAGCCGACACATTCTCATTCCAATCTTAAGCAGTAACATAATAAGTTTTAAGCCGTAAACATGATAAAATCTCAAAAATAAGCAGTTAACAGTACAATTTGCGGAAAAACAAACCCAACACAGCCCGACATCGGGGTATCACTAGTTATGAGCATCTACTAAGTTCCGAATACAACAAGAGTCTAAAATGTACTAGATACAGTCTAATGAAATCTAGAGGGAGAAAAGCAGTGCTGCGAACGTCGGGCAGCTACCTTGCTAAACTCCGATGAATCTGCCTTTGAGCAACCAATACCCGCTACCGAGTTCAGAAATACCTGAATCTGCACACAAGGTGCAGGGAGTAAAGTGAGTAATTCCAACTCAGTGAGTAATAAAAATAAATGAAGACTGAGTAATATAAAACCACGTAAGGCACAACATTAAGCTAAAAGAGGCACAACAAAAATCAGTAAATATAATTAAGCAGAGAAATCTCATAAACATCCGTTAAACAATTAAACAATATAACTGCCCCTCGGGCGCAGTAACAACAAAATCAGCCCCTCGGGCAATATCACAGAACAATACCAGCCCCTCGGGCTATATCTCATATCACAATGGGTACCCGCGCTCACTGGGGGTGTACAGACTCTGGGAGCCCCTCGGCCAATAACTGATATGTCTTGCGGGTTTGAATCACACATCCCTCAGCAATACAACTCGGAGCCAACCAAGTCGACTCAAGTTAGAACACACATCCGCATTGGCCTGCCAACAGACCCCTTTATCAAGGAAACCCCGAAGCTGCTCCCTCAACTCCTTTAACTCTTTCGGTGCCATACGATACGGTGCCCGACATCAAATAAATACCGAAATCAACAACCTTGCCCGACGACATGCCCGGCCACAAGAACACATACGAAAAATCCCTCACCACCGGAACTGAATTAATGGTAGGAGTCTCTACACTAACATCTATCACGAAAGCCCAAATACGAAAAACAATCCTTCCCAGCCATCCGCTGGGTCTTCAAAATATAAAACCACCCTACTAAGAACATAATCCGTCGAGCCTCGCCACTCGATCCGTGGTATTCTCGGCATAACCAACATCGCCGCCTTAGCGCAATAGCTCAGAATGACACAACACTGAGACAACTAGTCCATACCCAATATCACATCCAAAATCTAACGTACCAAGCAGCAAAAGATCCTCTCGGGTCTCCAAACCCCGATAGTCACTAAACCGTGCCGATACACACGACCCACAACCATAACATAGCCTGAATATGAGAACTCCCAGTCTCCAACTCCATATAGCACATGAATCACCATATCCCATTCCAATTCCACCGTCCGAGTATACAACACACCTCTAATACCTACTCATTCCACGAGAGATACTCTAACATTCTTCTGTGCCACCAAGCAGATCCGAATGTCAGCAGTCGATCCAACAAGAAAGTGCCACACTACCACCGAAGTACCCTCAACTTAATCACATTGCCTTTTCCTGAAACATATACCCTCGTCAAATTACCCCAATTGGCAGTACCATTTCCTTAATCATCTGAAGCTCATTTCTCCATTTATCTGAAGCTGCCCGCTGCCTAAGAGTTTTATGACCTTCCTTTCAGAACTGAACCGTAACCTTGCATATGCGAATCTCAATCCTCCACATATACCGCATATACCATACCATCCTAGGATAACATGAGGACTTCACATCCCTTCCGAGCCACAAGCACTATGTACTCAACCAACCAAGAACTTTCCATTGATCCCATTCAAAAGAAAATCGCTACACATTCCATGCTTCTTACAGTCGCAGAGAATACGCACCTCTAACCGCAGTAGGAATCATCAAGAACTCTCCGCCTCCCTTTTTGACAAAACCAAGCCTGACATGACTGAATCCCTTTAACTCAACCAAGCTATGCAGGCCACCAAAACCTAAGAGCATTGCCGTGAAACACCTGTAGAAGCTCATTACCTCGTAAACATCCAAAGGACTAATCATATCCTTGCTATACTGGTTCGGCATACTACCAAACTATCTCATCTATCCGAGTTCCTCTGATTTTACCTTCAACTTGATACTCCTTCTTGCTATAGCATCACAATTCCTCAACCCAGACTCACCACACGAGACCCAAGCATAATACCACACAGTCTAAGGCTCGCAACCCGCTGAATACTCTTTTAAATGTTCCCAAAAGCACCACATTCAAAATACCTACCCTTAAAAGACTTCCTACGAATCCAATGCCATTACCTTTACCTTCTTGATACTGTTATACAGAACCCCATAATGATATAGAAATACCACTAGTCTTGACACCTTCCAATGCAACCTCAGTTTCTAGCCAAAAATACAACTCGAAAGTTTTCACTTATTACATGAAAAATCTTGAACGCATTAGAACCATTCTCTAGAGTCAACCACTCTACTCAAACTACAATTAGCCCGATCAAATCAACCGAACAACCCGTGCCTTATTAGCACTCCGACACCGCATAATATAACTTCATCCCAATGCAACCAAGCAACTTCCTGCTCTATACACCGAGAATTCCTTACCAATAACAACTCAATAGCAGACTCCCCCACTTGGTTCGAAGCCATAGATCAAAACACACACAATAACTCATAATGCATATACTCTATTTCTTCCATAATACCATAGTGAGATTAAACTCAATCCTTCATCAGCTCGTGAAACACAGACCATCTAGTACTTTAAATCTTCTACAAATCTCGCATTCACTCTCGCAACAGTTAAACCCACTCTCTTAAGCAACCCCCAGATTTAAATTTCAATGCATATATTTCACTTGAAAATGGGATCGTCTAACAGACAACGTAAGGATCACACAACTTCCGAACACTCCGCAGGAGATAACCCACCTATTTTGCCTCAAACTAACATTTCTGTATACCTTCCATCATCATAAACATTACGCAGTCACTTAGTCTTCTTGAGTCTGAACCCATACCGCAACATGAAATTTACTCCACTCCAACTAGGATACATGAAAAGATTCATCACACGCCCATAACTCAGGGCTATAACTCGAATCAAGGCGGAAATCAAGCACCTAATAGTTCTTCTATCCTCCAATAGAACATTCTCGTCGCTTCCAAATCATACGAATACATCTCGCAGTCACATCATCCTCATCACGTAATTATCCAGTCATTACTCCCCTTAATAGGGACACAACAGAACATGTAGATCCAGAAACACGTGCTCACACAATCAGCACCTCGATGCTCAAGCTATAGGCAAACAAATCTGGCCTCGAGTCTTCCAGACTGGCCCAACATCAGCACATAGAGATCACATCTCGCCCCTCAATCAGGGAATCACAAGCCATCGATGCACATCTAATACTGAGCACTCATGTGCGCATACGAACGTGTGGAAGGAATTTCAAGAGTTACTTTTCAAGCTGAATCAAGGATGCACGACAAGAATTCAAGAATGTGAAGTTTTTTCTAAAGGTTCTGCAGCCTCTCAAGGATAAATACAGACGTCTCCGTACCGATCCGCGAGACTCTACTAAACCTGCTCATGACTCGTGAGACCTATGTAACCTAGGCTCTGATACCAACTTGTCACGACCCTATACCCGGACCCGGTAGTGATGGTGCCTCTCGTGAAGACAAGGCCAGCCGACACATTCCCATTCTAATCTTTCTTCAAAATCGCCTCAAGGCTCTTTTTCCGTTCAAAAATGGTGTAAAAGGGTTTCAAGTCGCGGAATAGCCTTTTTAAAACATTCTGCCCAGCTATTAAATTTCCTTCATCGCTATCGCGGGACAACTTTCGCGATCGCGAAGCACAATTCCTTAGCTCCCAAAATTTACTCTATGCGAACGCATGAAATACCATGCGAACGCGATGCTCAAGCATCTGACCCTACACGATTGCGGATTGGCCACCGCGTTCGCGATGAACAACTTCCATCCAAGACTCCTGGTCCACTTAAATCTACGCGAATGCGACCTTCACTACGCGTTCGCGATCTACAACTTCCTCACCTCTATGCGATCGCGACCCAACTTCCACAAACACGAAGAACAACTGAACTTCCCCCTCAAAACCCTCTACACGATCGCGAAGAGGAATTCTTTGCAATAGTTAAGCCTGCAAATTCTGCAACATCTCCAAGGCATGAAATGGTCCGATTGACCACCCAAAACTCACCCGAAGCCCCCGGGACCTCAACCAAAGCCACCAACATATCCTAAAACCTTATTCGAACTTGTACCAATCTTCAAAATACCTCAAACAACATCAAATCAACCAAAACACATCGGATTCAAGCCTAAGTTCTAAAATCTTCCAAATTTCGCTTTTGATCAAAAACCCAACCAAACAACATCCAAATGACTTGAAATTTTGCACACACATTCCAAATGACATAACAAAGCTACTACAGCTTCCGGAATTTCCATTCCGACCCCTATATCAAAATCTCACCTACCAACCGGAAAACGCCAAAAACTAACTTTTGCCAATTCAAGCCTAATTCTACACCGGACCTCCAAAACACATTTCGATCACACTTCTAAGTCCCAAATCACCTAACGAAGCTAACCAAATTATAAAAATTCCAATCTGAGATCATATATTAACAAGTCTAATCTTGATCAAATCTTTCAAATTTCAAGTTTCAAACTGAGAACTGTTCTTCCAAATTCATTCTGATCATCCTGAAAATCAAAACCAACGATTTACATAAGTCATAATACATTACACAGGGCAAGTCATGCCTGAGATTTGACAAGCAAAGGGCAAAAGCTCAAAATGACCGGTCGGGTCGTTACATTTGCACCCAAAATAGATGATGCATCATGAAAAGGGAAATAGGAAAAAGTATAACAGATGTATTTCTGACTAGTCATTGAACTTTTTTTATAATGATAAGAAATGTCTAGATGCTTCAGATAAGACTTCATTAACTCAAAGTCGGAACTACTAGCTAAAGTTTAATCTCTAGATTTTCACTGATAATCATGGTTAAACAAGCATGTTGGAATTACTTAGACGCTTTATTCATTTGATCAAAAGTACTCATGGATAACAAGAAATCCAAATATATTTGTAGAAGCAAACACAAGGAACGCTTTACCTTCACGAATTAGCTCAAATCTTGGATGATCAATCCATTGCTTTAGATTATCCTTTGATCGATTGGAGTAATTTTCTACAACAATCACGTGAGCATATGCAAAAGTTAATGTAATTGTACCCATGCTTCTAATCATTTTTGATATACAAGAATGCAATAGTTGCAAATATACAACAGAAAGCCAAACTTAGAAGATTGTACCTCATTCTTCTCATTTTACATTAGTTTGTCAACAAATGCGAGAGCCGATAGTCTAGATCATCTACCAAATTCCTCATGTTGGTCTGTGATTATGGCAGTTCGTGAATAGTAAACAATGCTAATTAATATCAGAAAATCACAGTAGTATCCTGTAAAGCAGCCTCGATTAAACATTAACTAGAGTACTACATTATGAAGAGGCTGGAAATCAAAATTTTCACTTAATTGTAACAAGAAGGAAAACAAAAAAATCAATTCCTAGACCATTAGACCATCAATCCCCAAGCTGGACCAACTTAGAAACAATTCAAAAATCAAACCCAAAACTTGGTAGTGATCAAAGTCGTTGGACAAAGAAAGAGTGCATTGCCTTGTTCCCCGTACTTCAAAATTCTAAACACATAATCCATCCAATAGCCAAAATAGGAAAAACTTTAATCAACCGTAAAAGACCAAAGATCTCCCAAATACCACCTAATACAAATATACAGTCTCTCACTAGAGAACCTCCATTTAAACGCGCACAGTATTCCCCTACAACAATTCTTAAAAGGGTAAAATTTGCAATTAGACCTCAAGCGTAGGAATCCACACAAAATTGAACCAAAATATAACACAATAGTAGTAATATACATAAATCCGCACGCATATCTTAAACAATTTCGAGTACGAACTCTGTAACGAATAGTAAACAAAGGAGATATAAAGCAACTGAAAATAAAAAGAGTATAAGTACGAACCTTTGTTGTTCTCATTGCGCCGACTTTCTCTCGTTAAAGAAGGTGATGAAGAGAGGAAATTTGGGCCTGAAAGATTTTGTGAGTTGGGGAGAGGGAATTGTATCCTGGAAAAAGGGGAGGGTGGGGGGAAGAGAGGGAATTTTGCTCGCCGGATTCTAAAAAATTTTAGTCTAATTTCTAAATTACCCCGTAAGGTGCCAATTAAAACCTATGGAGATATTGTCCAATATTGTCTTTTAGCGTCTTTCTTTACTTCTAGTTTTCTCTTTTATTTCCTTTTTATTATTTAAAAGAAAGAAACAATGACAAATAAAATTAACTTACTAATACAACATACTTAAACCTAATTGATATGTACTACTATACAAAAAAAAAAGGAAAAACAAAAGATCCAAACAAATAATAAATTAAATATAATACAAACTTACTAAAACTCATTAAAATAATTCATTTAATATTCAAATTGCTAAATATCCTTGATTACATAAAATGCGACAAAATTATAGAAGTGCTAATATTTTTGCCTTTATTCACAACTCCCAGAATTATGAAAATAAAAGACACTCATGTGCATATATTTTGTATTTTTTATCACGGCCCAAATTTCCAACCAAGAGGTCGTGATGGCACCCAACATCGCTTGCTAGGCAAACCAATACGTAACAAGACTAAATCCAACAACCATCTAAAATCTTCCTAGAACTAGTGTCACCGAGTACATGAGCTTCTATAGAACTACTAAATACAACGTTTGAAATGACAAATACACTGTTTGATACGACTAAACAGTATAAAGTCTAGAAGATGGGTGACATCTAGACCTGCGGACGATAATGCAACACTACCTCGAGTCTCCACTACCAAGCAAGCTAGTTCATCCTTTGAGTACCACTAAGAAGTCCGATGCCAAAGTCTGCAAAAGAAGTGCATAAGTGTATTATGAGTACAACCGACCAATATACTCCGTAAGTGTCAAGCCTAACTTCGACGAAAAAATGACGAGGCTAAGACAAGACACCTACATATAAAGTTGTCAGTTAAGTAACGAGAAAATAAATAGAGATATAGCAATTAAGAGAACAAAAAAAGTAGCAACTAAGATAGCGATTAGGTAACACGAGAGATAACAAGTGTAGTAGCAAAATAAATAATAGGAGGAATAATGAAAGAAGTAACTAAGGAGTATAATGATGTAAACAACACCAAGCAAGTCTTTCACCACAATTCAAGTCCAAGTAATTTGACAATGCGACTATGAAACAACATAGCCAAACTCTCAATCTACATCGTAAAAGTAAGGAACAAGAGATATCAATCAAATGGCACAGCATCACTCTTCGAATTTTTACTCTCATTCTCACAATCACGGAAATACCCCTCGTGCATATTACTCTTCCTCACGAGCACGGAAACACCTTTAGTGAAATTCATTCTTCTCACCATGCATAAACATGTAAACCAATACCAAGAAGGATGAAAAGAACAAAGAATATCAAGAAGAGTGATTGAACATAACTTGCCATAAGGAAAGTAGTCATCACTTATCACCAATAGCCAAATCAACATTTCAATAGCCTTACTACCCAATATCGCAACAAGCTCAACACGACTGCCAACATGAATAAGAATAGTCAAAGAGTTTCACAATTTAATTAAAGCATAAAAGTCAAGTTTACCTGTATGCTTAACCCATAGCAAACACATATACACCGCTCACCTTGTGCATACATCGCTCCTAACACATAGCAATTCGATGCAATTATATTTTAATTTTCTCAAATCAAGGTTATCCAAGATACTTACCTTTTTTAGGGACAAATCAACCCTCAAATATTGCATTTTCTTTAGCACAAGCCTCCAAACTACTCGAATATGGCAAATTAATACTCAAATAAGTCAAAATAAGCTTTAGAAACTATCCTTATATCCACAAAGTCTGTATTTGACATATTTAGAAAGGTCAACAAAAAGTCAACTCGTATCCACTTGATTAAAATTCGAAATCAAGACTAAATCCTGAATACACATTCACCCCTAAGTGCAAATATGTGATTTAGTTTGTGATCCGACCTCAATTCGAGGTTTAAATCTCTAAAATAGAAAAATCCTAAGTTCTACTCAAAACCTTATTTCTATTATATGAAATCTTATATTTAGGGATGAAAATCTACTAAAAGTAATGAAAATTGATAAGAATTAAGATAAAGTTACTAACCCTTGAAGACAGGAAAAGAGTTATTTTCAAAAATCATCTCCCACAAAGTCTAGGTCTCAAAAATGGAATAAAATAAGCTAATCCCAAAATTCTTTATTTTTATTTAGCTGCAGATGTCATAGTTGCAAAATCTTGTTAGAAATTGCTCAGCTTGCAAAAGCGAAACAATGTTTGCAAATGCAAAAATGGCCTTGAGCCTCAGGTGTCACGAATGCGACACAGATCTCGCAATTGGGAGGGTCGCAAATGCGACTCCAGCTTCGCAATTATGAAGCTGCCCACCTCATCCCACCTTCACAAATGTGAGGCCCACTTTGCAATTACGAACATCACTTTTGTGAGAAGTTCATCACAATTGTGATAATTGTGGTACCAACAAATTCTAAGTTCTACGAAATCAGTCCGAAATCAATTCGAAACTTACCTGGGCCCTTTGGGACTCCATCCAAATATCCACACAAGTATATAAATCTAAAAAAAAGAAATCGCCCGTAAGCTCAAAATATCAAAATAACATCAAAACTCAAAGATTTCAAAGCTCTTAAGTTTAAATTTTTAACTTTTTTATAATAAGCGCCGAAATGGAATCGGGCCACCCGGGACCCCAACCAAACATGCGTATAAGTTCAAAATCACCATACGAACCTACTAAAATTGTCAAAATACCGATTTGAGGTCGTTTACCAATAATATTGACCGTGGTCAACTTCAACTGCTTATAAGTTTTAAAATCAAGTTTTCTTTTAAAAACATCACATTTATCATAAATCATTGACTAAAGCTATATAAGATCTCAAATTATGAAATGGGAAGTTAGAACTCTAAATGACTTATCGGGTCATTAAAGATTTCTCTTTCGGATTTATGGATCGGTACATCTATATGTCGATGTTGGACATACTAAGTCATATGAAGCGACCTTCCATTTTATCCTCAATATATATGACTTGCACCTTTTGGCGAACGTGGTTAAGTTTTAATCTTATCTAATCTTGAATAATTGCACACCCATCTTAGCATCCGCATTTGCCCAACACATATCTTGTGGATATATTAGACTTTAGCAATTCAACACTCACGACCATATAACATTGTCTGTATTATAACTATTTTAAAGAGTATTTCTTCTCTTTGATGGACACTATTTTGTCACATAACATCCCGGTAGCACTTGTCTATTCAACCATCTGATTTAACTCTACGAGTAACATTTTCATCTATCATTCCATTCTTTAGAAATAACGAACATAGATATCTAAATTATTTGTATTTTTGTACTGCTATTCTGTCTAGTCTCACCTCAACTTCGCTCATCTCATCTGGCTAAAAGTAAAGCATGTATTCAATAGTACTTCTACTTATCCTAAAATTCTTATGCCCTAAAGTATTTCTCCATAATTTAAGCTTTTGGTTGACCCCCTAAATGTGGGGGTTATTAACCGCCACAAATTGTATCGAATTGTTATACTTTACAAACTTCCACAATTGATGCAATTTGCAGAGGTTATAAAAAACCTCCACAAATAACCCGCCACAAAAAGAATTATATAGCAGGGGTTTAAAGAAACGCCACAAAATGATCTTATTATGGGGTTCTTATTATCCCCACAAATAAACCTCCACAATTAACCTTATTTCTTGTAGTGAAAAAATAAAGGCTTTTGGAATTGGTGGTCCCAAACAAGTCAAAAAAGGGTTATATATTTGTGTGGTTATAAAAGCTTCTCATTAAGAGTAGAATTGTACGTTTAAGTTAAATTGTTACCAAATTTAAAAATGAATTATTTTTTTTGGAACAGACCAAAAAAAAAAAAAATAGATTCACATAAACAGAGGAAGTACTATTTCACGCTTTTCATGATTTGACGTGTTGCCATGAAACTAGTCTACTCTACCTAGATTTGCCTTTTCAGTATAGTATACTAACCTTTTGTTTTTATTCTTTCCTTTTCAGTATAGTATACTAACCTTTTGTTTTTATTCTTTCTAAAAACTCCAGTTTCTTCTGCCATGGATTCTGAAGGTGACGGCTCGGTATTCAGCCTCCTCATCCCTATATTCTGTTTCCGGGATAAATTCGATCTATTTATTTTTATTTATTGTCTTTTAAGCTTATTCTTTCAAAATTTTGTACCTATTTAATTTATTCTTTCAAATTTATTTTCTCCCTTTATTTGATAATTTGTGCATGTATTATTCTTGAAATCTTTTGTTCTGCTCTTGAAATAGGGTGTAATTGTTTTCTTCGCAAAGTACAATAATTACTCTTAAAATCTTTTACAAGTTCTTTTAGCTAAGTTGTAATGGATTTTCAAGCTTCTGGCACCGTACGTCGTACCTATTTTTGATTTTGCTAAGTGATGTAATAGTTGAAATATAAGTCTGAAGGATCTTCCTCCATTTATTTGCATTCTTAGGATATAAGACTTGTTTAATTAACTCAATCTTCCTCAGGGGTTTTTAGTGGATATTGATGTATATGGTCGAAATCAGGTATGCCCGATTTCACGGGCTCGAGGGGTCGCCATAAACCCGAGTTCAGGATGGGTCGAGTTCGAGCTCGATGGACCAAGCTCGAGCCCGATGACAGAGTACAAGGCCCGAGGATCGAAGTACGCGATGAGTATCGAAGCCGAGTTTGCCCAACCCCGAGATGATGCCGTTATGGGTTTGTAACAGAAAAGGCAAGATTTCAGCCACGTCCCCAAGATCATGGCGTGAATTCTGGAGTGGATTCGTACGAGTTAGTGCGAATCCATACTAGGCGTTAGACAGCTGTACCAATAAGATTACTTACTGTAAATAGAAATGTACCTTATTTAGGGTTCTCCTGCTATATAAAGGGGATCCCAATCATTTGTAACCATCATCATTCATTGGCAAAAGAATACACTCTCTTACTTTTCGCTTTTCATCAGAATTGT